GCCCCACCACCGCCACTGGAGGTCCTCAGGTTGCCTTGAACAAGATCTTTCACCACATTGCCAACAACACCGTGCCCGAGTCGATTCGACATGCCCTTTGCTCCATCAACTACACTATCCTGGAGAAGGCCAATGGCAAGTTTCGACCCGTGGGCACGGATTCCATCTTCAACAAGGTTGTCAACCGCGCTCTGCTCGAGCAGCAGCAGCCCCATATTGCCCACTTGCTACAGGCCAGTCCAGAGCTGGCTGTCGGAGTCAAGGACGGCATTTCAGCAGCGGTTGGCATGGCCTTTGGTGAGCTTCAAGCCTGTGAGTCTACCCCGGGCTGGACCATGCTCTCCCTCGATTTCAAGAGTGCCTTCAACTACACCGACCGAGCACGGCTGCACGAGATTGTGGCCGACAAGGTCCCTGGCCTCTTGCGCGCCTTTGAACGACACTATGCTCGACCCACTACCCACTGCATTGTCGACAAGTTCTTCAAGGTGATTGACATTGATGTTGGCCAAGGCATTGTGCAGGGCAACGAGCTATCGCCCTTCTTCTTTGCCCTGTACTCCTGTGAGGTCCTGGGTCTCCTCGACGCTACCACTGACTACCGCTGCCGCGGACATGGCCACTGAGTCCGGCGGCGAGGATTCTTGGACCCAGGTCCGCGGTGCTAAACGCCCGAGTGCCGAGTCACCTCCAAGCAACACCACCACCTCGCCTTCCCAAACTCGTCGTTCTGCAAAACACACAAAACATGGCATCGCTCGCCACGACCGTAACCATGTTTTCCCTGACCCCATGACCACCCCGCTTCGCCCTCACGCCCGCCACTCTGTCCCTACCGCCCGTGCCTCGTCTCATGTGCCCTCGACGTCCCCCGCTGCCGGTGCGACCGAGTCTTCGGCACGTGCCGTCGTGCCCGCGGCCGAGCCAGTGACCAGGACGTCAAACGGCGGCGGGGAGCAACATCCCATCATCGGAAACACTTCCAATGCTTCTCCCCGCACCCCTCGCACGCCATCCAGCCCTCGCTCCTTTGCTCAAGTTGCTGCGGCAATGCCTGCCGCCGCCACTGCCACATCTTCAGCCCCTACGACCGAGGATTGTCAGCATCGTGCCCTC